GGTACATCCATTAGTTCGAGAAACTATACAGAAGTTAGCATTGGTCAGCATGCTACAGGTTTGTGACTTATTTATTTATTTCGTTTTTTTTTTCTTTTCTTTAACCTGTGTTTTCTACAGGTTCTGGTTGATGTAATTCCCGGATATTCCATTCGTGAACTTACTGCTGAGGAAAAGCAGCAGAAAGTTAAGAAAGAAACTAAAAAGCTGCAAACATATGAAGAGTCTCTGCTGCGGTATTACTTGAAGTTTCTCCAATTTTGCGAAAAAATGACAGGAAGTGAGTGAGCAAATATTTTAGAATCGTGAAATCACTAAGATATCTCGATTTACAGAACTGAATGTCAAGGGACGGAAGCTTGACGAACATTCATTTACTTACAAATTGGGAATGTTGTGCTTGAAAGCGATGAACAGATTGGTTACTTCCGCTCCTCATTTCAATTATGCCACGAATATCCTCTCAACTATAATACGGCTCTCATTATGCAATGATCATGCTGTAAACACTTTTATCTCAAGTAAAAAGTCATAGATCAAATGCGACGAGATTCAGGTAGTTAATGAAGTGTGCACAACACTGCATCAAGTTTTCCGGGAAGATCTACACTTGAGAATATCTCTGTTTGGAGCACGGAGCATTGCATCACTGGTCACTAAGAGGAAAGGTCATGTACCTCCTCAGCTTATTGCTACTTTCCTTTCTTTGAACATCAAGGTTTGTCAAGTTTTTGCTTCAATAAGTTCCATTAAAACATTGAAGATGAGGTTAGGCAGTAGATTATGAATGTGACATCCCTTCACTTTGTCTATTTGCGAGTCATGCAGCTCAAGGAATATAGGATAATTTTTTCTCTGTCCTTTCCTCTTCGCTGTTCTGCATTCTGTCAGTCGCCAAAGTGGAGCTTGTTTGTAAAACAAAGAGTCATTTTAAAAGGGGAGTGCTTGGAAAGTCTCACTCAACCTATTTCAATTTTGCTATTTCAATTCAAAAGTTGTGCATACTGCAAAACTTTTCTACTAGAATTATAACGTAAGGAACTCACATTCATGTCATGGTTTTTTTAAAATTAGTTGTTTTTGTTGCCGTTTTTTATATCTGTTCTCCTAGGAGAGAATTAAAGTAGAAATTTCAGGAAGTTAAAAATGAAGATAAAAAATCCGGTAAAGGGCGAATTTTTGCTAAGAGAGCTTTGATCAAGAAGGAGCGTGCCAATAAAACCGCTAGAAAGGCAAGATCTTTTCATTTCGCTTCTATTGTTCAATTGTTACATTGGCCTTTTTTAGTACAAAAAGCAGCTCGACAAGTTAGAAGCTGATTTGAAGGAGCTAGATGCAGCTGAGACCCTGTCTACCAAGATGAAGACGGTAAGTTATTCAGAATCCTCTATTTCTTGTATAAGTTCATCGGAATCTCTCAATTGTCATTAGAAGGAGTTGATTTAGGCGACAGAAACCATGAAACATGTTTTTCAATGTTACTTCTCAGTGTTGAAAAGAGTACCCAATGTAGCTCTGCTAGAACCTGTACTGGAAGGTCTTAGCAAGTTCGCTCATCTCCTAGGTGTTGAGTTTTTTGAAGATATTGTCCTCACAATGGAAGGTTTGGTTGATAAAGAGGTGCGCTTAGCTAGCTGTCTTGTATGTGGATTTTGCAAGAGAATTTTTTTCAGAATCTACGCCTCCTGGATCGGCTGTACTGTATCAACACTGTTTTCGTTATTCTTTCGGGTGAAGGACAGCTTTTGAATGTGGATCCTTCGCGCTTTTATCGATCCGTATACCGTCTCCTCAATCAGTTACCATTTGAAAAGAGACCAGGTACGTTGCTTGACGTGCTTTAACCTTTTTTACTATTTTGTTTTTGTTTCAGAAGTTAGGCGAAAGCAAATGGTCATGGTGTCAAAAGCTCTCGATCTTATGATAA